TTTCACGACCAAACAACCCACCATCATCCATTGCTCACCCCCATGGCGCGTGGATGGCCCTTCGGTTCGGCTGCTGGAAGGAAGGCACCCCAGAAAACCACAAATTGAACCTCAAATTCCCGCCCGCCCCTGTCCTTGTATCCCGCACCAGTTCGCAAATTGGACCATGCTCACTCGCAGAAACCCCCAGTCCGATGAGATCATGGCTTGTTTCAGATTCTGCATTCCCGGGTGCTGCGCCTCGCTGGACTCGGTTCATGTGTGGGGCCCAAAGTAACGGTGCTGATGGATGGAACCCTCTTTGTGTGTCGCACGCATGACCAGTCGCACTCTTTCCTTCGGGGTTCCCGTTCGTATGTGGAAAATGCCCAAAAGTCCGTCTGATATTTGGCAAATTTTGCCCACATTCCAACATGGCTAAATCCCAGGAAAAGCAGCGCGTGGTAACCCGTCGATGCAACTACGGCTGACGGTCTTTCCTCGGTCCTTTTTATTGGAGTTGTGAATCGAGCCTGAGGAAACAGATAGGCGAGTTAGTTATCGCGAGGCTCAAGTGGACGCGAAAGGGGATGTGGTGCATGGGCTGTCCAGGGGGGGTTAAGAAACTAACCAAGCCAGCCACGGCAGACGCCTCACTGGCAAGCCATGTCCGCCCTCCAGAAATGGGTTGTCGGGATAGCCCTTCTGCGAGGACCGCCCCTACCAGTGGGTTGATTTGGCCGTGATACAATCAATACAGCCCGTGCTCTCTCGTACGGTTAATAGTTGCGTCCCCGGTTGGCTGAACGTTCTTGAACAGTCAACCGCCTTGGCGGGTTGGGGGTGACCAGGCATGGGAAGCGAGCCCCAGACCACCACATGACGTCATCCACCCAGGCGCTAGTGGGAGTGTATCTCGACGACGCGCTCCATCACGAACTGGGGAAAACAAAGTCATAACCAAGGTGCTTGCTTGAAGGGGCACCGGTCCTCGCCGCTTTCGATCGTGGAAGTCCACCTTGAACGATGCCTTACGATGCACAACGCCATTGCAGCAGACGTGACGTCGTAGATAGCATCGGTGTCCTCTCGGGGACCTGTTGTCGCCTCAGTCGGTTGACATGATGTTGCCCGAGGCGGCGCATCGAGATCTCTGCGGCTCACTTTGGTTGGGCGGGAGCCGGCTGCGGGGTTCTGAGGTCGGCGAACTCTCATCGGGCTGCAACTGGACCAGCAACAACCCGATATGCCCTAATTTCTCGAGGATGGGGCGATGGCGATTGGACGTTTGCATGAAAGGATGGGGTGAATCTGGAGAACCTAACACTCGCCGACCAGCACCATGGCAACTTTGACGAGAGTACAATCACAAGCCGCTCCTTTCGCCGGGCCCGGTCTGTCCCGTCTAGATGTCGAGCTGAAGAGTCTGAATGTTATTCCGTCAGTCGGAGGTCGTTGCCCTCCCTTGCTGAATGGCCGTGGCTTCCACTGCATCGAGCTATTGCCGAGGCGAGATTCGAATCTTGCCTTGCCCAAGAGTCTTCCCCGCGAAAGCCCCAGAGCCCACTCCAGTTGTGGACATGCAAAAAAGACCCTGACGATCCTTCATCGCAAAGCTCCCGTTTTTGCGGCCGTTGATTGGGCCATGAAATTTGTGGGGCACTGTCGCCATCTCGACTGCAGGACATCCACCCTCCAAGATCTCGCCTGGAATGAGGGATTAGAATACCACCAAAGCTGCGGTACTCCCCGGTGTTCGTCGTATCCCTCTTATTAAACTTGGCCGAGTGGGATTTTGAGGCCCTAATTGGCGCCCTTGCCGTCGTTTTTTGTCCATCGACGTCATCGGGCGGAACTTCGACAAATCTGCAGCCATCCCGTATGTTTTGTTGCTGGGGGTGCACTGTGACGTATGAAAACAACCTCAAAAGTTGGTCACGCCGGCATGGCCTTGGCTGTTCAGCAACTCACCGCACTCCGCTTCTTCACATCACCCTCCCGTGCCTCCGCCGTGTGGCTCCACGTCAAGCCGCGCAAGACAGAACCACGCTGACCACACTTGATGCGGCGAGATGGATCCAGTCAACCTGTCACCCTGTTGCGAGCTTCGGGCTCAACGTCGAAATGGTCCTGTCTGCCGAATGGAGCCTTCGCTACGTAGGCCAGCCATGTCGGAGTTCCTCTTAGGTTGGTTGGTTGGTTCCTCAAAGGGCAAGTTTGGCCGTGTGTCGCGGTGCTGTGTTTGCATCCAAGTGCGTCACTGGCGTCGAATTAGGGATGTCTCATGTGGCTGGCTCCATCACAGCGCACTCCATGCCCTCCGTTCTCCATATTCCTTGGCCGGAGGCGGGTTTTGGGATAACATCGACCCGTCTCGAGAGGATCCCACTCCCTAGTTCGTTCCGGGCGCCGCATGCTGGACCGGGACCTGCTGGCCCAATATCGTGCAATATCCGTGATATCTCATTTGAGGTCGCCACCGAGGCAGCCATGTGGATCTTGCGACCGGCTAAAGATGAGGTTGGTTGAAACGAGCGGCGGCCATGTTGGTGACTTCGTGCAGCGCGGCTCCGTGTTGTTCACATGTGAGGCCCCCACTGTCATCAACGACATGCGCCGGCTCCGCGTCGTCCCCCGGGCCTTAGAGTACCGAAGCCGAGATTCTGTGGGAGATCAGCAGGTTCCAGAAGAGCGTTGGCGGCTTTGCCGCCCCCGCTAGTGCTTGTTCATCGGGCGTTGCCCCTACGAGTAATGATCTGAGCTGTGGCAGCAGCTTCACCTTGTGCCAGATGCACTGATTTGCGCACATGAAACAACGGGACACCAAGGTCCTGGGAAAAGTACATGCCTTTCTGTCGTAGAGCCGCCTCGGGTTTTCTCCACAACCATGTATCCGAAGCCTGTTTGGCCAGTGTAGAAGTTCGTTGTCGCCCCGTCATCAACTCCGCCACCGTTTCTTCTCCATCGGTGTGGTTGGATGGAGCTGTCTTGATGCTCGGAGAGGGGGGGAGTCAACGATTCCTGTCGGGTAAGCCGTGGCCAGGAAGCCAGCAAGGGGATTGAAGATCCTCTTCCCCTTCCGGTCATCTTGCCTCCCGCGACACCTTCCGAAGGGCCCCCACCCACTTGGCTCGCCTGGGTCCCCTTCACAGGGCGTTCCAGCCGGGTGAAGCCCCTTTGGCGGGGCGGGAAGGCCGGGGCGTGACTGGGCCGAGCGAACGAGTCGTCGCCAAATGTTGCTGCCTCGTTTTGCACCCGCAGGATGCATGCCATACCCTCACTCAAATTTCTGTCTTTTTCAACCGCAGAGGTTCGAGTGTCAGTGAGTGTGCAAGGAGAGCTTTCTCAGCATGGGAAGCGAAGTCGGAAGATGTGTCTTGCTGGCGAGCAAGCTTGTCGACGGTTTCGTGTGTAGTTCGTTGTCTGGCATGCCATCTCGCGGGGCGTCTCCACTAGGCAACCATTCCTCAGCCAGGGACTGCAGAACCGAGCTGGCGGTTGGATGTAAGTGCCGCGGCTACATACAACAGTTGACGCCCCTTGTCCCCGTGATATCGCAACCTGGGACTCCAGGTGGTTAGTGTCACTCCGGCAAGGAGGGTGTGCACGCACACACGCGAGAAGAGGCAGTTGGTGCCGATCGACGCACGATGAAGGAACCGACGAAGGCGGCTCCGGCGGGGAAGCGGCCATTTGAATGCAGCCATTGCTGTTCTCCCGGACCTCAAGTCGCACTTGATGCAGATCCATGCTTGCATGCTTGCATACTTTGCGCGAGAGTCTCCCCCATGCGGGGTGCTGCAGTCATGCTCGGTTTGGCGTACCCGTGCATTGTCTGCTCAGATGCTCGAGGGGCGATTGGGAAGGTAATTGTCTTGAAACACTACTAGATGAGGTGTGGATATGGCATGGTACTCGGGCCAACCTGGAGGCGTCATGTGTGCGACGAGAGTTAATGATTGACCGGTACTATCATGTGGGTTTTGTGATGATTGGGGGGAAGATGGAAATTGGGAAAGGCCAAGGTGTCATCCCGAAGCATTGCGGAAAGCAGAAGTGGCGTGGTTTCTGGGTTGTCACCGGACGTGTTTGTAGTTTCCTCGAATTGTTGTATGCCAGAAGCAGAAAGAGCGAGCAGTGGTTTTGAGAAAATTTAGAATTTTGGGTAGCTAGTCTTGCCAGTTTTGTCACGGTAGTATAGCCATTGGCAGATTTGAACGGAGCGATGTTTTTTTTTTGGTTTGGATGGATGTTGTTACCGCCAACGAAACCAGAGAACGCACGAGTCAGGAGTGTACTAAATGTACATGATTAGGTGGCCGAGGCCTACTTAGAGACGTACGCTGGGTACACTAGGCTAAGTATAACAGATAGGTATATCTAGTTGTGTACACTCGTACATTTCCCAACTCCTCATCATCCGCCAGACCTGATCGTACCGGTGCAACAATTCGTATGCGTTGCGGTTTGCCGTAGGAAGTGTCCCCCATTTCACACCTCCCTCTTCCCCCTTTCCCCGCCTCCCTTTCCCCTTTCCCAAACCAGAAACTCCCCCAGAAGCCGTTTTGGTGGCCGACACAAAACAAAGTAATGTAAACATGCAGCGAGAGTACAGAATGTGAGGGCGCGCCCTGCCAATCCAAGCCAAGGAAATATTTACTGCCTGTCTGCGGACAGCAACCCAGGAAGTATGATCCCCAAACGCCGATCCATGAGGGTATCCAACCCAAGGCATCTCCACTCCCGTCGCCCGCTGTTGGGAGATGCCTCTCCGCCCGATCATGAGACCTCAAGAGAAGATATGATTAAAAGGCGATATTATCAAGTGACGTTTCAAAGAAAGAATGGTCCCCCACGGTCCGACAGCAGAGCCAGTGGTGTCGTGGGTGTCGGTTTGCGCACGCAGCGATCGAATCGGAATTAAAAGGGTTGTATGTGAAGTCTATCGAGGATGTGGTGCAAAGGTGAAAGCGGTCCGTGCTGCGAGGCTGTTCATGGACTGTGGCAAAGATGGTGGCTCACTACGGCGACTCGTGTGTCTCCGAACCCGTGTCGGAAGGGGTCTCGCCGCCTCTCTTGTGGACCTTCTTGTGACGACGGAGGTTTGATACTACCGAAAACCGGCGGCCACAGCCCTCAACTTCACAACCAAATGCTGGGAAGAGTTAGTATCATTCACGAAAAACAAACACCTTGTCACAGACAGGATGAGAGTGCTTACGTTTTTCTCCCGTGTGGCTGTACATGTGGGTTTGCAGAGAGCTGGGCCTCGTGAAGCGCTTGTCGCAGACCTTGCACTTGTGCTTCTTTTGCGCGCTGGACGACACCCTGGAGCTGAATGACCCCATCATGGACTGAGGCGCCGGTGGTTGGCTGGACATGAGCCCTTGGGGTCTAGGTAGTGTCCGCCCCGACAACGATTCGATGTCGGACCCCGCCGCAGAATAATCGCTAACTGACCCGTCAACAGAGCCTCCGTAGTAGCCACTGAACCCGGCCGACGATATGCTCGAGGTTGATGAATGCGTCGAGGGGAAACCGTACGAGTCCGCCGAGCCGCGTGCCCGGTTGCGCACGTCGTAGATGTTTCGAGGCGTGTCCTGGCTCATCGAGAGCATCCCCTGGCTGGCCTCCAGCGCATCCTGGAAGGTCCTCCGGTCATCCGTTTGCAAGGGTCTGTTCATCACGGTCAGATAATGTGCATCCCAGGGGGTTCTGAGCCCGCCACGCTGTGGTTTGGGTTACTGACTGTTGCGAGTATCTTCTTGCGTTGTCTTCCTGGCCGATAGCAAAGGTCCCCCTCATCTGTGCCGGCGCGTAGCCGAGTTGCTCGTACGGAGATGCCGACGCCGGTGGGTACGACGCGGTCACCGGCGACGCTGAGCTCGTGTATGCTGACGCGTCGTAGGCAGCGGACGACGTTGGCTGCTGTAGGCGGTTCAGGCCGAAAGCATCTTGAGGCATGGACAGCATTTCGTGCTGCCGGTAGACGCCCGAGATGGGGGCGCTGGCGGCCGAGCCGGCCGTAACCGGGAGGGAACCGTAAGGCGCCATCGAGGTGCTGCTTCCTGTGGTGGCCGAGTGTTGGGGGTGCTGTGGGTGTTGCGAGTTGGGAGGTTGTCTGGGAAGGCTGCCGATGTTGAGGTGAGGCAGGCCAGCGCTTTCTTGGTTGCCGGCGTAGATGGGATGTTGTTGGTTCCCACCTTGCGGTGCCGGTCCCGTCGGCGAGTACGAGGACCAAGGGTCCGAGAAATGGGGCTGGCTAGAGTATGAAGGCATGTGGTGGAAGTTGCTCAAGGGACCGAAGCGGCGCCGACTGTGGTCATCGGTCATGGTCATGGTCATGGTGAGATTCCGTTATAGTGAGGTCGACAAGTTGTCTCTCTTCCGGCCCAACTTGGAAGTGAGATCACCCAGAGTAGCGATGCTGATCAAAGTGTGGCAGCCGAGAATCGAGAAGGACGGATCAGCGTCCTTATGTGTCTTTGAGCGTGCGACAGAATTGAGACTTGGATCGCATGCGCGGGCATGGGACAGTCTGCGCTAGGGCCCAATATGGTTCACCAACCAAGCCAGTGTCGTCTGAAGCTTATTGCCCACTTTGGCCTGCGGGACTGTGGGTGGGGATGGATGTGGTTTCAAGGCAACCTCTGACGAGTGTCCGGCAGAGCGATCGACGGTTGAAATATCCCTTCCCAAGGGGGGTGCTGCCAGGGCGGGCCTGCCAATTGGGATGAGTGGGACTGGTCTTGAACGGCGCGGAGCAGGGCTTACAACCGGCTGGGAAGGTGTGAATGCAGCGGGTGGCACGCCTCCCCTCTCAAGGATCAGCGAAGCCCGATGGGATGTGGGACTGGCTCAAGATCCGGTGATGCTTGATGCCGGGAAGCTTGGACCAAAGCCGTGGGGTCTGGTACCTGGGAGAGCTGGAGAGGCGTTGGTGAGAGAGATCAAACCACGCCGGACTAGCCCGACTAGGGGAGAGCAGGGCTTGGGGCTCAGGCCGAAACAGGGCTTGTCGAGGACGATCCGGGGGAATTGACGGTCAAATTCGGGGCGCGTGTAGGTGCGGGGATGTGCGAGCTAACCAGCAAAAAACTTGTGCGCCCAGCGAGAATAACTAACGACTGTGCGACAGGCTGTAGCCTGGTTTGAAAAGATGTGAGCCTAAAGTGTGGTAGGGATCGGTTCTTCTGCTACTTTATCGCGAGCCTTTTCGGGTGAAGGAGAGGTGCCGGGACGAAAAGGAGAATCGAAGAGACCCCTGCCAAGCTTTAACGAGGGGGCCATCCCAGCACTCACACCGTCAGGGAAACTCTCAAAAACCAATGAAGTCAGCGGTAAGTGGCCACCCAGGCAACCCAGCCAAGAGCCGGTGTGGGTGTGGGTGCCTCCACAATGCAAGCCGCCTCAGCGAGCTTTGAGCAAGACCCTGGACGCAGGCAAAAGCTGGAGGGGGGGGGGGGGGGTCCCGCCGCGGCGACCGGGGAGGGGTGTATGTGGTGGAACTCACGCAGGGTCTCCTTGCCGGAGGGCAGTGGCTCCAATCTAACGCAGTCCGGCGGGCCCGGGAGATATTGCACTGTGTACTCGAGAGTTGACAAAAAGATTTGCCCAGGTCAGGGTGTGTATTGGCTGCTTTGCTTTGTAACTCTCCATACTATCATCGGGTTGATATGGTACTGTACACTCAGGGGAACGGGGAAAAGGAAATGGGGGGAAAAGAGCAAAATCAATGCATCCATGCTGGAGTAAACATCCATGGAAGCGGCCTGGAGGCAGGCGCTGGTCCTCACCAACAGTGCTTCCGAAGTCTTTGCATTTTGTTGTACTTGATACGTGCCAACCGAATGCATTCAGCGCAGTGCCGGGCTGGTGTTGTCGTGTCATGCAGGGTCTCGACATGGCTTGCTCAGGTCGCAATTTCTCGGTCGAATTCGGCGGGCGCCGTCGTGTCAGGGGTTTTCCTGCAAATACCGTGAAGCCCCGGGACTACCCATTGCGTAACGGAGGCGGCTGAAGGAGACCTACTGAGCAAGAGCAGGTTTTGCATCCGTGACTTTGCTTTGTTGCGTCGGGTCGGGTAAGCAAGAACGGGGGTCGTCGTTCTGGCAGCACCGTGCCTGCGAGGCACGGGAAAGTAGCGGGGATCGAATTCTGTCGGAATTGCATACCTGGCATTGAGCTGGGCCAGAATTGGCAGGAGCCAAGAGCACAACAGGCAAATCATCTTGGTGTAGCCCGGGGCATTGCTCTGCCGACAGTGTCTAACCCTAAATGGAAAGGTGTAGGTACAAGAACAAGAGCCCTCGCCCCAGGCAAGCCAGGGAGGCAGGACCCCTGCTAAATGTCTTGAAAACTGGGACACTGTTGCCATCACGGGCAGTTTTGACAGGAACGGGGGAGTCAAGAACTGGGGTAGTGAAATGGATTCTCGTTATTCGTGTGATGGATGAAACTCTTTTGGGTACCTAATGTTGTTATTCAGCATGGCAAACTCTCGTCACCTTTCTCAGCTCGGGTTTGAGTGAAGGCTCGAGAGAAAAAAGCGCAATGTTCAAGGCCGGAAGGAACGCACTTGGGAAGTTATGGTGGGCCACTTTTCAGACCCTTCCAACTACCACGGTACACTAAGCCGAGCGGGGCTGCATTCGGTACTCGATGTTTGAAGTTTCTTCTTGGTATGAGCGACGTGACGTCTTCTTGTCCAACCCTACCTTAGGAAGGAAGCCAAGGCCCGGCCTGGTTTTGTGATAGTGGTTCCCTCCCCTCCCCTCGACTAAATATGACGCAACTCGATTATTCTTCAACAAACACGGGTCCAGCATATCAACTAACCCTGGGTTTGTTCCCGCCGTCACTCGGTTGTCCAACGGGAAGCTCCGGGCGAAGGGGGTTCATGATGAACAACTTCGTCAGGCTTAACCGGCGCGGAACGGAGTCCGTTACGCGTGTCTTTGAGTTTCGCCAAGCCCCGTCCACGACGGGCTTTCACCGCTGCTCGAATTACAGAAATCTACCTACGAATACAAAGTACTGTGTACGAATACTTCGTACCAAGTAAGTTCCTAATCACGCACCGCGTGTCAGACTGTGGGTAACAAGAGCTGGTATTCCGCGATTCCACAGGTAAACCCCTCTCAAGTGCGGAATGCAGACTCAGATGCTTGGCTTCACTCGCTCGCAGAAGCAGCAGCGCGAAATCGCAATGTCACTTCGAACCCCGCCGAATCCTGCTGTGCTCCGCTCTTACACAGTACCCAACCTGTGCTTTGCGGTCATTCATTCTCTTGACGAATTGACGAATTTCCTTTTTTTCCTACCAGTTCCCGGACCAGGCTTTGAACGAGCGTAGACATCGAAATTAAGTTACAGACGATCCCAACTTTGAGAGTTGGTCGTTGTCATGCACTTGACAGCGTTTTTACTCCCGAGTTATCGAGTTATCGCGTCGCTGCCCGGCATCGGGAGACGGTCTGCGCAGCAGTCACGGAGCGCTGCGCGACCGGCGACCACGGCGCCCCCGGGATTATGCAGCAAGAAGAAAACGCATTCCGCCTCCAATCCCACCAAAAGCAAGGGTACGGCAGCCTGGCCCGCAGCACCCCTTGCAAGCCAACGGCATCCAAATGACCAATGACGGCAGACTGAGCGGGCCGCGTCCCTCTGAGATCCCGCCAATCCCGCAAAGTCACGTTGAGAAAGGAATCCGAGGTGAAGAGAAAGTTGGACATCTCCCACGGCCATACCATCCATGATGATTTCGGATGACGACAAAGCATGGCCTTCGTTCTGGGCCATTGATACAATATTCACATTCTTCCGGACGCTACCGTGCGCGGGTTGGTGCGGTTCAATAGTTGGTTAGGTGATTTAAGTCTTGCAAAGCTTGTGAGGTGCAATCCCCTGTTGTTGTGTTGGCCATTCGGCTTTGCTGTCCTCCCCTTCTTCCTTTCCTCGATTTCCGACAACTCAGACGCCGATGGTGACCTCGGCACCGAAGTGTTGAACCTTCAAGCAAACAACTTTCTCGTCGTTGTCTTGAGAATGATACTGATGATTAGAGTTGGAATGTCCCGTTCATCCCGCAAAAACGATCGCTGGAGCTAAACCCGAACAAGAGGTACGAAACATAACTTTGACAGGGGAACCCTTGCAGGTCGGCGATGTCGTTGACTGCTAGGAGCCCGACATTGTTGTCGACATCCTAGGAAAACCAGCTACCAGAGTCCAGTGACACAAAGAAGCAGCATGCAATTTTACGGCCATTTCCACCAACTTCGCGACCAGGCCGGATTCTGCAGGTGGACGAGGCTGTCTCGGAACTTGCCTTTGCACGAAGAGGTTGTCAGGAGAAGAGCCCTGGCCTGACCGGACGAACCACGCCTGAAGCACCTTGAACCGGGAGGCCACGAGTTAACCAAGATGGACGAATCACGAATTATTCGTACCGTACATGACCACTGCTTACCTCATTGATAAAAGATTGTCAGGCACCCGGCGCGGATCAGGAACCGTTTCTCGATCGCCGTCCGGACTCAGTGATGACGAGCGTGGATTCTAGATCCCGGTCCCATCTTTCTCACGTGCCGTGGCCTGGTTTTCCGAATCTCGGGGCCCTGCGGCTTCGGCTGGTTATCGAGATCTTGGAAACCGCTTGCGGCAGAGCAGGCTCATCTCAACAAGCCCGGGAAGGGAAATTATCAGGACCATAGGTGGGGCTCTAACCACGACATTTCACTGCTGGAAGAATGCACGGTTCATGATCGACACACAAGGGTGCGTTACAGAACTGACAGGGTCCCTGAAAAGGGGAGAAGCGGGAGTGACCTTTGCCCACAATCTGGCTGAATGCGCTAAGCGGACAGTGTATCTCAGGTAAGTGAGCATAATCGACCCCAAGCAACGACACAACATCGCTTTTTGCCATTGACTTGGTGGGTTTCTTTGGGTTGAATGCCCTCAGCAGCGCTCTGATCGCTCTCGGATTCAAAATCACCATTGTCATTTCTCGTGCCGTCTCACGCCGAGTTACTGTGCGATGTGCCTCCTTTTCCCCTATTCTCCCCTCGTTCTTTTCGTTTCTGTCATCTGCCAGGAGCGCTAGTATCTCATGTTGCAGGGACAGCTCTCAATAGACAACGGCATAGTGCATTTACAAACAGCTCGAAGTCCAACGGTCACGCCCAGCCCGCCAACTTTGTGGCTGCTAGGCCAGTAAAATTTGAGCGAGGAAGAGCCGTGAGGCGTTCTCACCAGAATGCAATCACAGCCAAAATGGATGCAATTGCATCATGGGTTCAGGGAATCCTTTTTTCTTCCAATGTTTTTTTTTCAGTCTCGTCAGCTGCAAGGCGAGGTTTGAGTTCCGCCTATTTACATGTCTGTGATCCTGTGCATTCTTCCGGAGGCACGAGCGCGACAACCGCGATCATGCTGGGTATTACGCTGACCTTTTTAGCTGAGAACTGATGGTGGCTTCGGCACCAAATCGCCATCCGGCGATGGCGCAAGAGGATCAACAACCGTTGGATGGCAACGAGAGCAAGGGCAGCCGGCAACCATCTCTATACTTTGTACCAAGTACGTAAACATGGAGATCCGAAAAAGGCAACCTTCATATCATTTTCTCACTGATACGAGGAGCTCATATAGCCGGGTTACATTGCAATCATCTCGTTCTGCAAACCCGCCAGCTTGGATTGCAATTCCAACGCTGCCATGGTGGGTACGTCCCCGAAGCCAAGCTGCGGCTCCGGGAATTACACCCCCGGCAGCCGCACACGCTAGCTCAGGTCCAGGGCAGCGAAGGGCCACGGGATGGCGCTGGCTCCGCGAACCCCAGGGAGATCAACACTTGGCTCTGTTCAGTGGGCCTAAGCCTTTCCAGCCCGTCGAGGGGTCCTAACTCACGCCATGAGAGAACGCCATGCTGCATCCTGCCGCTACGAATTCGGCCCTTCGACTGAAAACTGCTGCCCGTAGTCAGGATCACGGTGGCCACCCAATGAGGCCCCGCATGGCTGCTCACTTTGGGAATCTTGCAGGACGGCCCAGCCAAAGAAGCTGGGCTCCCTCATCAATGAGCGGAGGGAGCGATGTGACAGCAGCCCAATCTGAGAACCCGCCATCCAGAGAGTCTGAGGGACTGTCAGGCAATCAAGACAAAGCAATGCCGGCCCCTTTTCCGTACTGGCCGTCAGGGTGCCGTCCAGCTCGGGATGCCACAACCGGACGGCAGGCCATCGATGACCCCTGAACCGACGAGCACAGCATTCAGCCTTCTCGATTCGGATGCTCACCTTTCCTCTTTCGAACAGCCAAGACCCGGCACTGGAAGCAACCCCGGGAGAGCATCCTCGCATCATGATCGACGCGCCGCGCATCTGTCAAGATCTGTCGTGCAGCGAGATGGCTTCGCTTGTGCCCTGCTGCTCTGTTCTGTGCCGTACCTCCACCTCCACTTCGATCTCGCGCGTTTTCACCCCGTTTCAGTTCCTAGTGAGCTAACAACACCATGATGTCGTATCTCGATTAACGCCAGCGATGTCGCTGGTTTCCATTCACCCCATGCGCGGCCGCCCCACACCCCTTTTCCGCTGTAGGAAAAAAGAATGCAAAGCGGGTTCAGCTCTGTGGCTCTGTACAAGGAACCGGGTGGGTTCGAGGGGGCGACAGACCGACTCTCTACACAGTACCACAGCAGTAACCATGCATGACTACATACAAACTGACCTGAGCCACTGAGTCGATCACAAACGGTGCCTGGTGCTCAGACATGGCTGGCCCGTTCGATAAGCCAAAGCCGGGCCGAGTCGAGAGACACAAGCATTCTCTGCCACCAAGCGGCGATGCGGGCGCCTGCAAAGGAGCTGATCTCTCCCAAGCTTTCCCGCGTCGCTTCCATCGATACGGGTCCTTGCCAAGCCCCTACGTTTGCTTAATCGCGCCAACAGCGCTTGGTTCATTGCGCATTTTGACTATGCATATCTGGCTAGCCATCTCTTCGTTTGGACTGGACACCCCCCCTCCCTGGTCAAGGCGTTCTCGCCAAAAGAAAAACAAGCCTCAGAACCATCGAACAACAACGAGTCATGCCTCCATTGTGCCAGCAAGCTTGGGCATACGAATATCGCCCGCTCGCTTCCCCATGAATCAATCTATCCTCGCCTTTTGCCGTATATTGCCCTGCCGTCAAGCTTGTGCCAACCGTGGAACCGGGAGTTTGGCATATCACCCCGACGTCTGTGTGTTTCATGCTCGATTGGTGTGGGGGCGGGTCCTATGCCGAGAGCAGAGCTCCAGCGCTGATGGCCAATGTTACCATCTCCATCCCCAACTCCACCGGCAGATTGTAAATTACCTTTTCTTCATTTTTTCAGCGTTTCACCGGTCGTGGTGGTGAACATGACGCATTCGCAATTCTCGACCCTCATCCGCTGCGGAAGCTTGCATCTCTAAGCTAGCAGGGACCCCAGCATCATCCCACACGGCCACGCTCTCAAACACTTCAGTTCACGTTTTAACCCGGTGGCGAACATGGGCCGGCCACTTGGCAAGCGGCAAATTACCGGAATCCCAGAGCCTCATCCTACAAAGTAATGTAATAAATGTATCATATAACTACTATCGACAGGGGTTTCACCCACGGAAGGTCCCGTAACTCACCTCCACCCGGTCATGCACGACGCCGGTCGATAACCTTTCCGCACACGCACAGGAGTTTGTGTATTATGCATCCGTTTTCTCCGGCCGGGTTCAGCCAGCATGTGCGGATTATGCAGCCGGAGCTACACAAACAGACACAGTAACTATACGAATACCCACACAAGGTGCGAGGTGCAAAAGAGCATCGACAACTGCTCGTTAACTCGCACAAGCAGCTTGTCCCGACAAATTTTGCTGACGTTTGCGCCTTTAGGATAGTGATCGACGCCCCGCTAACTAGGGTTATAGTGCGCTACGCAGGGGAGAGCGATCCGCAGACCAGAGACATCCACACCACCCAGGGGGGAGCGCCACGGGGCCGGGATGGTTCCCGCGACTGACTGCCTTGGCTGCGAGATCCGGGCCACAGGCATCGCATTCCTTTCCCTTCGCCCTTGCTGCAAAGCGGACCAGTGCCGAGCCCTCCCCCTCTGCCCTACGAGATCCCCCGAGACATATCGTGGGGCGACCTCTCCAGTCGTCGTGGCCCACTGGTCACGTTGTCTCATTCACCCCCCTTCGCCTTGCACCAACCGCCCTGGCCGGCGAGGCTGCTGTCCTGCCCGGCATGACGAGAAAGGAAGGTCCTTAAGTGCACCCTCGACCGCCCAGGCCAACCATGGGGCCCTTCACTTCAAAACCCGACCCCATCACGCTCTGCTTGGGGGAAGGGAGGGGGGTGTCCCGCCAGAGCGGGGGACTAGCGGTGAGTGGGACAAACTGGGCGTTGACTTTCTCTCTCACTTGCACGCTTTTTCTTTCACCGGGACGTGCGGATACGTAGTACGAGGTGCGAGGGTTTGCGCTGAAGAAGCAGCAGCAGCAACGGCGGCAGCGGTATCCAGCAGCAAGCCAGCAGACAAGCAAGCCACGCCCAACCCGCGCGGCCGCCGTACGATTGTGAGACACTTACGACTGGCCCAGGCCCACCGTACCGGGATATGGGCGGGTGCTTGATACCGCCTTCCTCCTCATAGCTAGTCGGCGGCCGAGTCGGGTCAAGAGTTGCACCCAAGTACCGGCGCTGTTGTAACCTCCCCCGGACTGCGGGCGGGCGGGCGCTGCTCTCCCTCACTCACTCTCACCCCCCCCTCTTCCCGCTGACGAACCGAACCCTGCGGGCCATCACCGTGGCACCGTCACACACCCTCACCATCGTACACAGTACGGTCCACATCTTCCACTCTCCCGCTCCGCATCTCATCATGCATGCCCTCTCAGACAAAGCACGCTCCGTCGTCGCCGTCACCACCACCAAACACAGGCCGGTGGGGAGAACCCACCACCCCCCCAAGCCCGACGGGATGGGGTGGTGACAATGACAGGGACAAGACAAGCAAGAGAGAGCAACTGGGCAACATACGTGGGAGGCAGGCTGTGGAGCCTGGGCGGCGCAAGCGCAAAGCACGTTCTCAGTTGTCAATGGGGGTTTTGCTGTGCGCCCCCCGCTGGGGATATCCCCTCCTCCTCCTCATCCACCTTCCATGTGTGCGTGCGGCCGGCCGGGGTGCGGTTGATTCCCAATGTCTTGTTGATGCGAAGGCGGAGGGGCGATCGGGGAATTCCCAGTCCCACTTGCGGCGTGGCGTGCCATGGCCGTGGGAAATAGGCCGGCGGGTGATGGGCGGATGGGCGAGATGGGCAGTCTCGTCTCGCCGCCCCGACCCTACCATCAACTGACGATCGTCGATGGGATCCTCAGCGCTACGCCATCTTGCAGGATGGGCAGCAGTGCCAAGCTGATCACGGTTTCTGCTAGCAAAAGCTAAACCGGCTCCTTCCGTACGGATAGGGTGGGTGGATGGGCGGATGATGGATGGGGTAACCGAGCCTGGCTGAGAAAGCAGCTGTGTCCATTCCAATCGACGAGGGACCCATCCTTTTTTTCTGCAAGAGAGTGGGAGAGACAACCGTCAGCTACCGGCAGTGTGACGACCGCGCAGCAGTCACGCATACGCACACCACACAATCCATCTCTCGGCGCACCTCTTGCGGTCCGCAGGAGGAGGGATCGGGTCGGACGGTAAACCCGCCGTCCTTCCATCCTCATCATCAATCACACCCGCCCGCGCTCGTACCGGGCCCAATTCCCGCCGCCGGGCAAGGAAAGCAGGCCCTGCACAAGCTGACCACCCACCCTTGCTTGTGCGGCGGGCAGCGCCAATCTCGACAACGGTGCGGAAAAGAAGTCATCGGCTCCCCGCTTTTGCAAGATATCCGACAGGAACACCCTGCGCCGGACCCAGGGGCGGGGGGTGTGTGTGCTCACAGTGTCGGCGCCGTAACTAACCAACCATGTATGTATGTACATAGTTACATACAGACACTCACACAACCAGCCCGCAACCGATCAGCAGAAAGGGGCAGCAGAAAAGCGGTGGTGGTGTATCCGGGGCAGTGGTTCACGGGACGCGATCAACGCCAAGCTGTCTCTCGGCGGGTTCAACACACAAGACACAGACACACACACACACACACACACACATACATACAACACAAACACACGCACACGCACATCACGCGCATACAGCATACCGCACACACACACACCCAGAGAAACGGACGCACACGCGCGATGACGGGGACCGGGTCCCTTCCCGGTCTCACGCCCTTCCTCTCCCCCCCTCCCAACTTCCCCCCAACTGCCGCGCAAAAAATGCGCCGTGCCTGCGCTGCGGATGCTGCTGATGATATGATGATGACGATGATGATCCTGCACAAGCATCGATCGAGATGCTGGGCAGCAGCAGGAGGGAGAAGAAAGACGCCAGAGCCTTGCCGCGGCTCTTCTCCACAGCCCCCTTCATTTTTCCTTTTCTGTGTTTTACCTTTGGGGCCAGCAACGTCTCTGATTGCTGCACCGCCCTGCCGCCGTGACGTGGATGTGGTTCGACTAACTATCTACACTAACTAACCGGGTCACCGAGGCACCGGCCCATTGGACTGGAACGGAGTCGTGGAAGTTTCTGTCCCCGTCGGCTTCTCTTGTGCGTGTGTGTATACCGTGCCGTGTCCCCTTAGGACTGACGCACGTATGGAGTGTGCTCCTCCTCCTCCTCCTCCTCCTCGCTTCCCAGTTTCGGGTCCTTCCTGTCCCTGAATTCCCACTTTCCCAACCACCGTGATGGTGTTCATTGGTTGGGTTGCTGCTCTAGTGTAGCTGCTCCGTGGACGCCAAGGGCGGGTTGCTGCGCTGGATCGTCTTTGCTGGCTTTGTTTGTTTGGTTTGTTCGGCTTCCGTGTCGTGGGGGGAGGGGCGCCCGGGCGGTGGTGGACGAAACGGGAGTGGCCGGTCGGCGGGTGGCTGGCTGGCTCTCCGGCGTGCCAGTTGTTGGAGATGGGGGGTTGGGCGTGCGTGGAGGATGGGGCGATGTTCATTCCAGTGCTGCTTCTGCTTGTGGATTTGGCATCGCCGAAGACGTAATGCGTCGTGGATGTGACATGTTCCGGTTTCTGGGCTGACTCGTGATGCTATGCGGGCGCCGAAGCAAGCTCCTCCGAGGCCGGGCGAATGGGCCCGTCGGGTGGTGATTTCTTGTTCTGGCTTTTCACATGTTGAGACGACCCATCTCGACGACAAACAAACGTTGAGCTAGCATGGAGTTGGGGTGTTGGAAAACGCTCAAAGGGGGGGGGTCAGACTACCGGAACTGCCTCGGGTGGTGGAGTGACTCTGTTGCTTGGATTGTCGCGCTGAGGAGGAATGCCGGGGGCTGAGCTCGGTCCTTACTAGGCTGATCGTGCGAGAGTGAAATGAAAGGGGCAAGGGAAGGACATCACAGAACTTGGCTTTACTGCTCCAGGCATCTAGCCTGTTCAGCATGCAGGGCTTCGGTCGTTTATCCAGATGAGGGTCCCCGAACGGGCGACGGATTCCCCATCAGGTCATTCCCTCGATGTCCGCAACACCTCGACGACTGCCTCACCGTCGTTGTGTTGGTTCCATCAGTAATTTCGGGCTCTACGGGTGAGGTTCGGTGGACGGTGGCAACGGAGCATAGCCTCACTACCCCTGACATCCAACGACCCATTGCGAGTCACGACGCCTCCACCGGCGCGGGGTTGGGTTCGACTTCAGTATCAACAACCGTCACGTCACATGCGAGTGTCTTGATACAGAAGGTGAGAACGGGTGATGGGATATCCTAACCGTTGAGGGTCCGCTGCTTCACTTGTCAGACACAACGCCGCCGGCCCAGCGCTCCCCCGAGTCCTACCCGATCTCACTCCGGTTAGTTATACCAACGGCAGAAGGGGCCATGTTGGGAAGATCCATGTTTCCTTCCGCGGAGGTGCATCAAGTCCGCTTGCGGCCCCGATCGTGTTGATGCTTGCCGATGACGCTTGTCGATGCTTGCTCATGACACATTGCGCCAGCCTGCGAGTCATTGTCCTTGGGGTATCTACCACAAATGCTCTCCTGCGATAAGAGCTTGTTATTGTTAACGCGTCATAATCCCCGTGTCATAGACCAAGTGTTATCGTCCTCATGTGTCCATTCTCTCGTGAAACGAGGTCATAATCCCAGTCCAGCACATTGTAGAAATGAAGAAAGGAACTGCAGATACCATCCCAGATGCGTACCTACAGACTGGCGTTAAACATTTCTTGACGCGTCAGAGGTCACAATCACCAGCTGGTTTTTGAGAAGCACATACTGGACTTCCTACACCATAGTTAGCACAAGTGAGGCCAGATGCACCACGAGCGAGGAATATCTTGCTGTCTACCTTGTCCTCGCAACACACTCATGCGGAGCACCGTTGTCGTGTCGATTACCCCTTGGGTGATTGTTTTAATAACAACTACTTCCCTAAAGATGCTTCCAGCTTTCAGCCATACACTGGTCTGGAAACAGGGCCCGACCTGACAAGAAGTTATGGAAAGTAGTCATCGAGAACCTAGAAAACTACTCACAATTGTAGAGCAGTGAGTTGGGGCAGTGAGATAGGCCCTACCTCGGACATCAGTTCATAGCGTAGATGAGAGCAACTAACGTATCGATGTCCATGCTGGGTGTATTAATGTGTCTAGTCATGACAAATGGACTTGCGCAAGAGCCTATCTAAACAACCACAGTGAAGGGAAACCTTAACAACTTAGAATGGTCACTCTCGATGTCTGTCACCCCGACCACAACATTGTCGAGACTACTCTCAATGGCACTGATGAAACCACGCCGCGACCACGGGATACGTTTCCGTTGGAGCATACACCATCCTTTCTACTGTAGCCCACCCAACAAGTCAGGCAACAACGGGGACAAGCCATCATAATGCGAATGTAGAAGTAGTTATTGTCACTAATTCGACTACAACCGCCCCCCCCCCCCCCCCTTTTCTACAACCAACTCTATAATAACGCCCTGCCTTCTCAAGAATAACCCCAGCCATAAGTTGCCAGCAGCCAGCCCCCACCTCAAT